TTGACTAATCGTTGATTATTTTACTCTGCCATCTATTGGTCATGCTTAATCGTTTTAAATAACGTTAGTGTTTGACCAATGTCCTCAAAAAGTAACAGAATACTTTATTTTCAATAATCTGATATAACAGCCATACTTAATTACGTAATTACAATGAATTAGAAGTCACCACTCTGAGCAACATACATTTGTCCACTCCACTATGTTGCTTATGAAATAGAACAGCCCTCAGTTGTACCTCTAAAAAGCGCAGGCAAAAGAACCAGTACATTGTCAATAAAATACGCCTTGAATGTACTAAACCTTAAATGGGGGAATGAAATTGAACACGCAAAAGGCTTTCCGAATCTCAAAACTGAGCTGGGAACAGAGCTAATAGGTACTCATCTGAAAGTTCTTAGACTAAGGAATCTGTCAAAATGTTTGAATAAAAAATTTGCTATTGGCAATAACGATTGATAATGAGAAATGAAAGAAAATAAAATTGAGTGACAACGAAAACGAGATTAGCACAAGGTAATGGACAAAGAAAATTAGGGTACTATAAAGCATCGAAAGAAACAAGATACACATCACAAGCTAGGATTAGGCAAACAAGAGATGTAAGAGAGGATAAAGGGAAACAAGAACACAAGGAGATTAAAGTAAACTGGTGTTACTGGTAGCCAAGGAAAAAACCAGGAATAAAGAGAACCAGTAAAGAAAATTTGTATACGTAGAAAATTAAATTAATAGATTTACACATCACCAATCCTTATTTATCACCCAGCTACATTGATAACCAGTCTAACTATAGTGGTACTAGAGAGAAGGTACAAGTTACCAGATTCATCCGCACAACTATTTCTTGCACTATCTCCATCAACCTTTGTTCACCAGGGCGATAACGTTGTACCAGGTAGTACGACCGTGAGTCCAGTGTATCTGTGCTAGTTACTCGTTAGATAATCCCTATACCTAGGGGGAGTTATCGTCGCCATCACGAGGTTCAGAACGGACTCAACACAAAGTGGTTCGTACCTTTTTAACACCGGAACATTAATGAGGATTTTCAGATCTGATTTCGCATCGACGAATCTCCAACAGAACTGATTTGCAGGAGGTGTCAATAACTTGTGAACGAGACCATCTTGGTCAACCGCGAACTTTCTTCATTAGAAGAACAACTATAAACATTTCCAAGATGGTTTTACGGAAAAGTGCTAGAAACTTTGATTTATGTGTGTGTGTAATCGTAGTAGCAGCATGTCTTCAAATATCAACAGGTAAGCCTGATTAACATGTGGAATACTGTAACAGATCAGCGGCGTACTCTCAAACTACAGAGATATATCATCTTAACAATGCGAGACTAAAAACTATATTATGCTTTATTTTCATTATATATTACACTTTACACTTATCTAAGAACTTAGAACTTAGCTTTCCAAGATGCGTTTCTATTATTTTGTACTGGTTTCAAAATATTACATCACATAACGATTCCTTATCACAAAACCAATATTCAGCAATTACACATAATATTATTATCATTACTATTATGGCATTCCTAATAGCCAATCAACACATAAAAGGTCATTAGGGCCATCAACCGGTAAAACACACAACGATCCAAAAGGAAATAACATTAAGCAAACTCAAAGGTAAAAGACAAATGCTGAAAATCTTAAATTGGTATATTGACGCAAAAGATTAAAATGGTACATCATACTCTATTATATAGACCAACATTTTTCTGGAATTGTAGAATCTCAACCGTTACAAAAATGGTTTTTAAACATGTGATGTTACGATAAAAACATTCTCGAGTAGACAGAAGGTCAATGTAGTCCCGTAAAAAATGTTTAACGGTGAATGGCTCATCATATCCTATCCACCGATGATTATCTTCGCCTTTCAACATATATGAATGTGTAAGTTATGTATGACCCATCCGAAGACAGGCAAGGACAACTTCGTCCCTGTGGTTGTCTCTATAGCATGGAAACCATTCACCTTATCGATAATTGGTTTTACGGCTTGCAATTTATTATTGGTATATGTATTCCATTCCCCCTGCCACTGAGCTGTTAAAATTTGTCTAATAAATGGTTTAATATCGGTACAAACAACAGGTGGTAGCGATAAAGCTTCCTTTGCGGCACGATCTGCTTTTTCATTGCCTGGTATTCTCATGTGCCCAGGAACCCAGCAAAACGCAATACGAAAGTCAAAGGCATGGTCATGATATAGTATTAATGTATTACAAATAAAAATATTTTCGATATTTCTATTGCTAAGGCTTTGTAGAAAAGAAAGAGAGTCTGAATGGATTACTTTATTGTAGAAATGTTTTATATTCTAACTGCAATTTCGAGAAGTATGAACGAAATATGCAACTGTCAGAGTCTTATTTAACCATTTCATGAAGTGAAAAGTCGACTTCAGGTGAATTAAAGAGCCAAGGTGGAATTTCTATCGTTCCAAATGACTGAATTTGGACAATATCAATATTTGTGTTTTGTAAAAGAGTGGAAATTCGAATACCGAATGAAGGAATGGTTTTTGGTTTGTTTTGAAACAAGGTTTTATTTTTTGGATCAAATACAAATGACAAGCAGGATTTGAAGAATTTGACTTTAGCTGAGCTGAATGGTGTATTGCAAAACCAATTTATTTCAACGGCTATATAGTTAAGGTTCGTTAGCCTCTACATACAGGCTTGCTGTAGGTGTGGCCTCAAAAGTTCCGAGAGCAAGCCTGATACGTTGATGATGAACAGCGTCTAATAATTTGAGATATGAAGGTCTAGCAGGTCCATACACAATGGAACTGTAGTCGAATTTTGATTTAATAAGAGCTCTATAAAGTCTTAGCAAAACTTTTCTATCAGCTCCACAACCAGTATGGGACACAACCTGAAGAATATTCAGTGCCTTAAGGAATTTGCTTTAAGGTATTTTATATGTGAAAGGAAAGACAGTTGCCTGTCGAATATCACACCAAAGAACTTGGTTTATTCAACAGCCGGAATGGGTACATCACAGAAAGACAGGTTTGGATCGTCGTGTTGATTCCGAATTTGACAAAAATGCATACAAACTGTTCTTGATTGTGAAATTCGAAATCCCTTTCCATATGCCCAAGTTTGTAGTCGATTCAAACATTGTTGTCGCTGTCCTTCGATGGTATTCATATGCTTAGAGATACGCGTGGTGTTTTCATATGACTACACACCTGTTTACACACAATTGTTTCTGATAATTACCGATTGATTACACGCCAGGATATATACTGATTTGTGGTTTGATATTAATGCGAGATTGTTGTAAACAGCGTTATTCATATCTTGAAAAAAAACGTTCTTTTATCGCTAACATATAGCTGAACAGATCTTATCTTAAATCATATTTCCTCAGTCTGTGATTAAGATACAATACAACTGTGCGTTTAAGAACTTCAAAACCCAATATGAGCTGATAAGTTTGTGTGTGATCTCACGTTAACCATTATACTTTAATGTTGGTCTTTTGTGTCTTCTACGCAATCTTTAAAACTCTGTAACATGCACAGTCCTGCCCTCAAAGTTGTTGAACGAGGAAACCAAATTGACGTAAAATAAGATAAAAGCACATCTGCATGATCCAATTGATTTAGATTTTTACATTCATGGTGATTAGTGCCTAACGATATTAATCTAGAACAAATAATGAAGACAATAGAATAAGTGGATTAATGATTAATCCTACAAACTTACATACAGTTCAGCGTCATTGAACTGGTCGCCTCTGCACCTTTCACCTTAGCATCCTTAAGCAGAAGTTATCTATTTACTGTTTTCGTGGATACATGATTTCATGAAAGCATATTGTTCACAACATCCACTGGTGCTATAACCTATGTCATTTTTTGTCTGTTTATTATTTCGAGGACTGATGAATTTTTCGTTGGTTTGGTGAATCCACGAATTCAACAAAAATTCTCGTCCCAATCATACACAGGAAAATTGTTTAACAGAAAGGTAACTCGATTAATGAACAGTGGTTCGTACCTTTTAACTCTGGTCCATTAATGAGGATTTTCAAATCTGATTTTGCATCGACGAATCTCCAACAGAACTGATTTGCAGGAGGTGTTAATTACTTGTGAACGAGACCATCTTGGTCAACCGCGAACTTTCTTCATTAGAAGGACAACTATAAACGTTTCCAAGATGGTTTTACTGAAAAGTGCTAGAAAATTTGATTTATGTGTGTGTGTAATCGTAGTAGCAGCATGTCTTCAAATATCAACAGGTAAGCCTGATTAACATGTGGAATACTGCAACAGATCAGCGTACTCTCAAACTACACCGACATATTATATTAAAGATGCGAGACTTTCCAAACGTCTATACACTTTCAAAAACTATATTATACTTTATTTTCATAATATATAACACTTTACACTTATCTAAGAACTTAGCGATATACTCTTAGTTTTCCAAGATGCGGTTCTATAATCTTGTACTGGTTTCAAAATATCACATCACATAACGATGCCTTATCACAAAACCAATTTGTAGGAATGACACACAATAGCTTACAAATCTAATCTTAAGTAATATTTCCTGAGTCTGTGATTAAGATACAATACAGTGGTGCGTTTAAGAACTTCAAAACCCAATATGAGCTGATAAGTTTGTGTGTGATCTCACGTTAACCATTAAACTTTAATGTTGGTCTTTTGTGCCTTCTACACAATCTTTAACACTTTGAAACTGTGTAACATGCACAGTCCTGCCCTCAAAGTTGAGGAAACCAAATTGACGTTAAATAAGATAAACGCACACCCGCATGATCTAATTGATAGTTCGTACCTTTTTACCACCGGACCATTAATGAGGATTTTCAGATCTGATTTCGCATGGACGAATCTCCACCAGAACTGATTTGCAGGAGGTGTCAATAACTTGTGAACGAGACCATCTTGGTCAACCGTGAACTTTCTTCATTAGAATAACAACTATAAACATTTCCAAGATGGTTTTACGGAAAAGTGCTAGAAACTTTGATTTATGTGTGTGTGTAATCGTAGTAGCAGCATGTCTTCAAATATCAACAGGTAAGCCTGATTAACATGTGGAATACTGCAACAGATCAGCGTACTCTCAAACTACAGAGATATATCATCTTAACAGTGTGAAACATGCACAGTCCTGCCCTCAAAGTTGTTGAACGAGGAAACCAAATTGACGTAAAATAAAATAAATGCATATCTGCATGATCCAATTGATTTAGATTTTTACATTTATGGTGATTAGTGCCTAACGATATTAATCTAGAACAATCAATGAAGACAATAGAATAAGTGGATTAATGATTAATCCTACAAACTTACATACAGTTCAGCGTCATTGAACTGGTCGCCTCTGCACCTTTCACCTTAGCATCCTTAAGCAGAAGTTATCTATTTACTATTTTCGTGGATACATGATTTCATGGGTGAATATTGTTCACAACATCCACTGGTGCTATAACCTATGCCATTTTTTTGTCTGTTTGTTATTTCGTGGACAGATGAATTTTTCGTTGGTTTGGTGTATCCACGAAACAGCAAAAAAATCCCGCTCCAATCATACACAGGAAAATTGTTTAACAGAATGGTACCTCGACGAATGAACGGACGTTCTTCTTTAGGCATAAGAGATATATTTCAACTTATACCTATAACACGGTATTCGAATAACTGTAGATCGTGGTGCTTTACTCATTGCTCGGGAACTGTCAAACATTTTATTTAGTTATCAACCCTCGAAATAGGCATTTCTACGAACACAACAAGCAGGTGAGAAGCTAAATAAAGATAAATCTTTGTGCAATGGTCATTAAAGCCGCAAACATTTAAACCATCAAAAAAAATTTACATCAGTTCATCAAATAGCCTTAGATACCTATATTGCAGTTATAACCCATAAAATAGACTTTAATACCTATATTGTATGTATAGCCATGAAGTAGCCCTCTGTCCCTATATTGTAGGTATAACCTTGCAATAACCTTTCATAGTTGTATTCGAGATAAAACCGTAACAATGTGCCTTTTACCTATATTGTATGTTTAACAATGAAAGAACGTTGCATGAAAGGTTTTGGTAAATCAAAAGGAAACATCAACAAGGAGATTCCATATATTTTACTCGACAAGGTTGTTTCCCCACCCCAATGGCAAAAATACCACCAGTGATGCAATCTTGAAAAATAATAGCTGTAGTACTGGCATTTCGTAACTTTCTCTTTCGGAGACGAATATTCGATCTTTCATTTTCTTTCGTGGAAATGTTATCACAGCTCGGAAAGATATCGAAGTCCAAAACATTCCGACGTGTACATAAATAGGTTGAATCTTGTTCAGTTAAGTTATCTCAGAAATAAATGCTATTTTTAGTAACGTCTTCATTTAGGTTATCGGACGGTATTCATTTTTTTAAACTATGAGATTTCAGAGGATCGCATACAACGAATGTCATATATGACACCATGTTTCTATACACATAAACGAAAAAAAAGTTTCTATATAGATTTTTAATATGACGACAGCTATCATCAATTACCTTTTGTTGTACCGATCAAGCTACCTGTACATCGGATCCAATCTTTTGGTTGTTAAAACATGTTTGTAATTCAAATGACAATAATGAACATTGAATGAAAATTATAACTATTTCAATACGATGCTGTTTATAGTTATATTAAAATAACAATGGCCGAGAAATGATATTTAGAGCTGGTATGGTAAACATATTACATAACATATATGTACAGATAATTTGTTAAATTGTTTTGCTTTCGTATTTAAACATTTTTAAATGCAGCTATTGAAAATATTATGGTGTGACATTCGTATCTATGATTTTTTTTTTTTAATTTAGAAACATGTCGGTAGACATTAGATAAAACCACTTAACGGCTACAAATGTATAACAGGCAGACAAACAAACCTTAATTATTAATTAATATGAATAGTATCTAACTTGTTATACCGCAGTAAATTATCAAGGTACAGTAACGTAAATTTCAGAATTGTGAATTCCGGTTTTTGCTCTTGTGACCCCCTTCAGAATTCCTTCAGGGGATTCCTAAAAAGAATCAATGCAATTATTTCTTAAACATTGTAAAATATTTTGAATAGACAATTGATATTATGAAGTATATCTATTGCCCTTCAAGAATGCTGAATTCAGTCATAACTATATACACGCCCTTGATAAATCTTAATGGATACGTATGTAGTCGTATTGTTAAGACACAAGCGGTAGATAATGATACCATGTCTACATTTCGTTTAGCTATGACAAAATGGAGATTTTACAGATTGGGTGAATTTATCATTCCAGCAATGACGATCAGGTTGCAAGCAGGGAGACGGTCGTCCCAGGGACGTGTAGAGGTATTCCATAACAACACGTGGGGTACAGTATGTGACGATCATTTCGACAATAATGCTGCAAAAGTGGTGTGTCGGATGCTTGGTCTATATAATAGGCAAGTACTTTATGTATTAAGACGATTACTCTATCTTAAGTTGGTTACTTAATTTTCATTATAACGATCCTCGTTTGGGATGGATAAACCTCGAGAGTCCAGTATGTACAACCGCACCCTCGCTCTAAATAAATAGATACATAGATAGATGAATAAACATATAAATAAATAAAGAAATAAACGTCATCGTGCTTACATAAGACGGCTTTCATACTACATTCTCTCCTTCGTTACTTCGTTATTTAGTATATTCATGTATTATTTGAAATGTTTCTGACTTCTAACATCACAGCGATATTTTACCTTATCATACCCTTATATCGCATGACCTTTTATATCAAATATTCGGGGTTAATATATTCAAGTTGTTGCCGGACCCATTTTTTGTTATTAAAGAAAATAGTGGTCTTTCATTGAAATATGATTGTTCTTCTTCTAAATGGTCTTGATAATTACATTGTATCTACAATACCATTTCGTAATCTGTCTTTTTACCAGTCGTAACTACATCCTTGCTCGGACAAATGCCTTTTTTGGAGCAGGGGATAGATCGATGCCAATCTGGTTAGACGATGTCACGTGCGCAGGATCAGAATCAACCCTAGATAACTGTCGCCTAAAGCCATGGGGACAACAGAACTGTCGCCATGGAGAAGACGTGGGTGTGGATTGTAACGCGGGTAAGTTGATTGCAGCGGTTATAACGAAACATAACAAGTGGTCCTCCACAAATGCAAAATCAAATAGGCCTAAACTGTGCACTCATGAAATAGTCGCCAAGAAAGCATGCATGCATGCACACAAAGAGTAAGAATAAACTATTTGTAGACGATTGCAAGAGCTTCCAGACAATAAGTGTTTCAGACCGTAAAAGAAGGAGAAATGAATATCTGTGAGGGAAATGGCTCGGGATCTGCCGGATATAAGTATATTATATAATATTATCAGAAAAAATCAACGTTAACTAATGCAACTTCAATATGTGATGTAATATTTCATATACTTGTGAGTTATTTCGTGCTGTCTTTGTTTAGGTCTTGATGGTATGTATATCAGAATTTTGGCCTTCATGCTATAAAAACCATGCTCTTTTTCAGGGCTTGGTATATTGTCTTGTTGACATTATTTATGCAATACGGAATTGCTGTTATATTTCATTAACGCTTTGTTTGTTTTCCATTCCTGTATAAAATCCGTGCTTTGGAATATTATGATATTTTGAGGTCAGAAACTATTTCAAGTCAGCCTGTTTTTTAATTCCGATCCGCATCCTTATCTGCTTATTTTGAAATTATCCACATTTCAAAGTTATGGCGATGCATAATCCATAAGTATAAGATGCATTATTTATACCATTCATAAGATATATAATTCATAACAATCATAAGACATAACTTATACCATTCATAAGATACATAATTTATACCATTCATAAGAGACATAACTTATACCATTCATAAGATACATAATTTATACCATTCATACTACATAACTTATGCCATTCATATGATACATAATTTTTACCATTCATAAGATACATAATTTATACCATTCATAAGATACATAATTTATACCATTCATAAGATACACATAACTTATACCATTCATAAGATACATAATTTATACCATTCATATGATACATAATATATAACATTCATAAGATACACATAATTTATACCATTCATAAGATACACATAACTTATACCATTCATATGATACATAACTTATACCATTCATAAGATACAAAACTTATACCATTCATAAGACATAACTTATACCATTCATATGATAAATAATTTATACCATTCATAAGATACATAACTTATACCATTCATAAGATACATAATTTATACCATTCATACTACATAACTTATGCCATTCATATGATACATAATTTTTACCATTCATAAGATACATAATTTATACCATTCATAAGATACATAACTTATACCATTCATAAGATACATAACTTATACCATTCATAAGATACACATAACTTATACCATTCATAAGATACAAAACTTATACCATTCATAAGACATAACTTATACCATTCATATGATACATAATTTATACCATTCATATGATAAATAATTTATACCATTCATAAGATACATAACTTATACCATTCATAAGATACATAATTTATACCATTCATACTACATAACTTATGCCATTCATATGATACATAATTTTTACCATTCATAAGATACATAATTTATACCATTCATAAGATACATAACTTATACCATTCATAAGATACACATAACTTATACCATTCATAAGATACATAATTTATACCATTCATAAGATACATAATTTATACCATTCATAAGATACACATAACTTATACCATTCATAAGATACACATAACTTATACCATTCATAAGATACATAATTTATACCATTCATAAGATACACATAACTTATACCATTCATAAGATACATAATTTATACCATTCAGAAGATACATAATTTATACCATTTATAAGATACATTACTTATACCATTCATAAGACATCACTTATACCATTCATATGATACATAATTTATACCATTGATAAGATACATTACTTATACCATTCATAAGATACATGACTTATACCATTCATAAGATACATAATTTATACCATTCATACTACATAACTTATGCCATTCATATGATACATAATTTTTACCATTCATAAGATACATAATTTATACCATTCATAAGATACATAACTTATACCATTCATAAGATACACATAACTTATACCATTCATAAGATACAAAACTTATACCATTCATAAGACATAACTTATACCATTCATATGATACATAATTTATACCATTCATATGATAAATAATATACCATTCATAAGATACATAACTTATACCATTCATAAGATACATAATAACCATTCATATACATAACTTATGCCATTCATATGATACATAATTTTTACCATTCATAAGATACATAATGTATACCATTCATAAGATACATAACTTATACCATTCATAAGATACACATAACTTATACCATTCAGAGATACATAATTTATACCATTCATAAGATACATAATTTATACCATTCATAAGATACACATAACATAATTTATACCATTCATAAGATACATAATTTATACCATTCATATAAGATACACATAACATAATTTATACCATTTATAAGATACACATAACTTATACCATTCATATGATACATAATTTAATTTTACATTACTTATACCATTCATAAGATACATGACTTATACCATTCATAAGACATAACTTATACCATTCATATGATACATAATTTATACCATTTATAAGATACATAATTTATACCATTCATAAGATACCTATTTTTTACCATTCATAAGATACATAACTTATACCATTCATAAGATACATGATTTATACCATTCTTTCAAGTACATTGGGTCATGTAACAAGCGTAAAAACTCTAATTTGATCTTCTACCTGTTGGGAATATTCACTTTGAGCCAGTGTCAGTATCCCAGGTTCTGGACTCTTGGAGGAGATTCGAATTTTTCAAGTTGTCATCTAATCATCATGTAATGCTTGTTTGTTTACGAAGGCAATGCGTTTATCATGCTGCTCAAGTTCGTGAAGTCATTTTCGTTACGCAATCAAATCTATTTTCATATATGAGAAAAACCGTGCTTATCAAGCGTATAGGATTTAATAACCGAGAAATAATTTTCGACAAGTGCTTTGAATACACTCCACATTTGTAATGATAACAAATAGTTCTATTTTCAGAATGAATAATGATCTTGTTAGCTAATGTTTAATATGAATATTACTGTCCACACGATATGAGAAGGAATTTCACTCCTCAGTAAAATTAAAACAATCCCTTGAATATGTCTAAATTTGAAAATTAGATATTTATCATTTTTTGAAAGTCATCTTTATGGTGTTGAATATAATTATTTCTAATAGTTCATTATTTTGCATAACATGGCAGATGTTTCAATATTGAAGTCATTTTTACACAATAAAATCAGGTACTTAAATAAAACTAAAGCTGACTGTTGTGTTAAGTGTTAAATTCATCAGTTTGTTTGCGTAAATCAATGTTACAAATATAATACTTGTTTGCTTGTAGCCCTTGATGCAAACGTACTATTGCGATTACGAGACGGGACTAACTCCAGAGAGGGTCGTCTAGAGGTCTTTTATAACAACACATGGGGTACTGTATGTGACGACGAGTTCGACGATCATGCTGCTTCGGTTGTGTGTACGGCACTTGGCTTATCCACGTAAGTAATATTCATCCAACGTTGTTGTTGTTGTAAAGATCTAGAGTTACTTCCCTTGTAACAAATATGATTTCGCAATAATAAAGTTATGACCACGCAATACTTTTATTTACATATGAATATAGTTACGTACAATTCATAATTTCGTTTAATAGTAAAAACCAATTATATTTATTACACTGCTTGAATGCTTTAACTTTTTAAAATAAACAGAAGTCACGGAATATCAATCCATTTCGTTTTTCAATGATTTTTTTTCTCGATTTTATTCAATCTTGAATTAATGCGAAAAATAAAAGCCCTCGAATATAACAAATGTCTTGTTACAGTTCGAATGCCATACCTATCAGCAACGGTTACTTTGGTAACGGAACGCTGCCTATCTTGCTTGATGACTTGAAGTGTACTGGGACGGAACCGGGCTTGGGTGCATGTGACCACAAACCCTGGGGACAGAGCAACTGCGGCCACAACGAAGATGTAGGAGTGATATGTTACCAGGGACCACGTAAGAATTTTAGAATAACTTGTTCGAGACTCATTCATTAGGACCTTTATCATGCATATTTGAAGCAGAAAAATACCCTCCTGGATAACCTGGTTTAATTCTCTTTCTTAGTGTGTTCTAGTTATTTTGTCTATAATTCATATGTTGTTTTCGTATCGTCACTTTTGAGTTTGATTAATCTTTTTGCTATTATATCCGGATTTTCTTCGTTGTCTCTACTAGTTTAATTGTGTTATATTAACAGTAACAGTTTCATACACACTCATGTTTAAAAAGCGATACAACACTATTTTGGCTACTCTCCGAAATTCTTTCATTTGCTTTCTCACCGAAAGGTACTTAGTAAAATCTACATAAATAGTTCTTAGAATAAGAAGATACTAAATTTTACTATCCAATTTATTTATTGTACTGCAGAGCCATCAGTAGCCAATGTTAACGTGCGTCTGCGTGGAGGTACAAGTCAGTACCGAGGACGTGTGGAAGTACAGGTGTTCAACCGCTGGGGTTCTGTTTGTGATGACTCCTTTGATGGCAGAGAGGCCAATGTGACCTGTCGTATGCTTGGCTTCATGAAGTATGGCATTTTTTGTGTACATTTTCAAAGTTTTCTGTGACTCTTTATTCTTCTTTACCAGAAGCATTTATACCAGTAAAGCTGATAACGAATCAAGCTTTAAACAAAAGAATGTTAAAGTAACATTCATCGAAATATCATAAAAATACATTTTTCAGTTAAATCTTTGTCATAGAATTTCAAAGATGAAAAATGTTATCTATAACAAGATGTTTTCTTTCCAATAAAAAGAGGAAATACCATCAGTTACAAATCAACGACTGCGTTTCCAAAATGTATACCTTTCCAAATGTTTTGTTAAGATTTATCAAATCAAGGAACTTATCTTTGAATAAACCGTTTTTATACAGATAACAAGAAAATCTATTATTGTGACGTCATGTTATTTTCTAATACCTATGAATATACATGACTCAGGATTAGTATAAAGCATCTGTAGAAGGCTACTGAAATACTAGAATATGAAAACTTTATCATTTTAAAGAAATGTCATGCAACGATGCCATAAGAAAAAGGTATATAGGTCGATATGCTTAAAACTAACTTACAAAACATAAAAAAACGATTTACATTAATTTGAATGTTATAGTTAAAACACCATACACATTATAATTTAGTCAAGCATGCTATATTACAATGCAGTTGGTTTTGTCATACAAATTAATCATTCTTTCATTGTTCGTTACTCACTACTAACTTTAATTTAAATGGCGCACTCTAGTGGCGGAGCGGTGTTGAGAAGCAGGACGTTTGGAGGAGGACGTGGACCAATCTGGTTAGATGATATGGAGTGTCGAGGGACTGAGCCTAACCTAGTCAGCTGTACACATAAGCCGTGGGGGGTCAACAACTGTGACCACAGCGAGGACGTGGCCATCGCTTGTACACCAAGTAAATCAATCCTTGCCAGTTTCAGTAGATACAGCCCAGACCAAGTTTTTGCGACATCCAATTCCTTAGTTTTTTTGGTGTTGTTTAAATGCCTAGACCAACTATCATCATTTGTAGTTTTTTAATATAGTAGATTAACAGAATAAAGAGTTAGTTTAGGAATATCTCGTCACCGGAAAACAAATATATCTTTACTATATACATCTACTATCAACTTATTACTATTTTAACATTTCTAAAGAATGTCATAGATTCTGTATATCACCAAAAACTGAACAATTTGAGAATCAGAAAAAGATACGATTATCTTGAAGTTTGTTTTTTGTTGCAATCAATGGTTTTCCAAAGTTCGTGTATTACCATTAGAATATCTTACCTTATTTTGTTGCCACTTGCAAGTGATTCACATGACGTCATTAGAGACATTTTTATAACAGACAATGTGCCACCTATCCGGGGGCGTTTAGCTGGAGGACAAAACAGTAATAGTGGGCGTTTGGAGATTAACTACAATGGTGTGTGGGGTACTGTTTGTGATGACTCTTGGAACAATGCTGACGCAGCTGTAGCCTGCAGAATGTTAAATCTCCCATTGTTAGTATGGAATTCTTCTGTCGTAACAATGACTCACATTTATTCGTTTGTGTGAAACGTAAAAAGATAATATCGTGTTACCATGAAGAAATATCTAGGGAAAGATGTTATTCCTTGTCAAACCTTTTCTCAAACATAATTACTTTTTTCTTGTTTCGCTAAACATCATCACGAGCGTCTAACATGTCATAGCTAGAGTAGGGTCAGCCTCTGTTAAGCCAGTATTTTAGAGAATACTACATGCTGATTTATGAATTAGTTTGATATATATGATAGATCTTGTTATGATCTTAAAAAGACAAACGAAGTTTAAAAGTTTTTTTCTATCTTAAAAGCTCCGGAGCTGTTGCCATTTCTAAAGGTGGATTCGGCCCCGGTACAGGCCAGATTATCCTAGATGACGTAAACTGTGTTGGAACGGAGAGTTCCCTGTCTACATGTCAGCATTCTCCTTGGAGCCAAAACAATTGCGACCATTCTGAGGACGCTGGCGTCATTTGTCAAGCAGGTAATACTGTACCTTCGTCATCAAATATATTTTGAATAACTAGATTTTGAAATGTGATCCATTATATTTTGGTAACAAAGATTTTTTTCAGGCAGTTGTAAATAGCGACAAAGAATTTTTGCAAGAGGACATACATCGTAAACATACCGACAGATGAAACATTTATTCATGTTTATGTATTTAAAAGTTAAATTAGACAATGAAGGCAAATGTACGTTCAATTGCTATGATAGGTAATGCCAATACGGCTATTCGATTATCTGGAGGAAGCGGGCCCTTTGAAGGTCGTCTGGAAGTCTTTTACAATAATACATGGGGTACCGTGTGTGATGATTCCTTTGGCAATCAAGAGGCACAAGTGATCTGTAAACAACTTCACTTCCAAGGGTATGTGTGTTTTTGTGTTTTCGTTTATATTATATAAGTAGCTCAATGCCACCGTTTAATTATATATACTCGATAATCCAAACCAAACTATTATCCTGTTATTACTTTCGGCAACCTTAACTTAGGGCGTTAATTATCATCTTTACAAAATATTCACAAATTGGAAGCAAATATTATACATCTATTGTCTTTTTTCATTTACAGAACTGGAGCTCGAGCTAAGGGCAATGCCTTCTTTGGGCAGGGTACAGGGCCAATTTTGTTGGATGATCTCGATTGTACTGGCAGGGAAAGAAACCTTGCACTCTGTGGACACAGGGGATGGGGTAAAAACAACTGCGATCACACCGAGGATGTGTCTGTCATCTGTGCATGTAAGTGGCAGTATAATTACGTTTATATCATAAAACTAGAACGTTTTAAAGTATACTCTTTGCAAGGGAAACTTTCGCCGCATGGTAGATCCTGCTCGTTAGCTCTTTTGTCGTTAGATGGAAAATAAGGGTATGTTTGTTTGTATCGTAAGGCGAATTGAGCGATTTTCAGCAAGGCGAAAAAATCCTTGGATAATGTATTCTAGTGTACAATGACACTTTCTCAGTTATAGCTCAAAACATTTGTTCTGTATGTATCGCCTATATGTTTACATGTTATGTAACTGAAAAGAAATGTATAACCTTATCTTAGTAGCACAATTATCTACCAGTGACTGATGCATATATGCAGATGACTGTTTCTGTTAAAACATGTTATTTTGTATAGATGATACATGCGCATGGTGGCTTAATAGATTACTTGTATCATTGGAAAATAGTACCAAAAATGCTTTCATGCAAAACTATTGTATGAGACGATTTGTTCGGGTTGTTGGTCCACACAACAAAGTAAACATTCTGCCACTAGTTTGCACAATTATTGAAGTGACTCTGTGGCCATTCAAAGTAGTAAAGGCAGCACACAAATTTACATCAAAAATAAAACAATGCCACATAATTATAACTAATGCTCTTTGATATAATATGGTAATAATAAACATTATAATTTTATTCAATAGATATACTGTAGTACTAACGGGAATGATGCAGACAGGCCAGTGTCCTAAACAATACTGTTTGTAACAAGAGCATCAATTGTTATAATTTCAGCTGGAAACCCTACCCCTAACACCACACTTCGCCTGGTTGGTGGGACGAGTAACCTAGAGGGGAGACTGGAAGTACTTCACTCAGGCACCTGGGGAACAGTCTGTGACGATTACTTTGACAATGTAGCTGCCGGTGTTGTTTGTAAAATGTTACATTTACCATGGTATGTATCATTGCTAGTACCTATTGTGTCTGTGTTATATAACATGTCTACAGTCAAAACCTTCTATACGGTCCTTCCAAGGAAAAGGAGAGAAATTTTTCATATGCTTCAAATGGTGATTCCGTGGTTGCTTGGAATAGGATAACTCTATCGCACACTAGATAGAATGAGCTGCACGCACTATGACATTATGCAAGATCGGGCACTTAATGTTTCGTAAGCGTGTCGCAAATTGCCAAGGTTTCATTTATTCAGGATATGAAATGATAACCAAAACTGGTCTGCACCTTGAGATATTTCTGCAAGCCAAGCTTTTACATCCGGGATGAAATATTTCTGTGGCCTTAATATCGAGGTGGCCCTAACGACATCTTTCTTAAGGCAGAAATATGTTTTGGCGAAAGTTGTCACACTACGATTTTGATATTTAATATACCTGTAGGCGTGGTGCACAGGCCCGTGCAAATGGATTCTATGGAAGTGGTACGGGCAGGATTTGGCTAGATGATGTCGTATGTCATGGCAACGAAACCAACTTGGCCTACTGTCGTCATCGCCTATGGGGCACCACCAACTGTGATCATACAGAAGATGTAGGAGTGGTGTGTGGCCAGTGTGAGTACTGTGGATATGATTGGGTTTATCCTGGGAAATAACAATTCTTTTACGCGAGATAGTAAAACATTTTTGAATACAGGAAAGTTATTGTGAAGTGAATGATTGAACTAATAAATGAGAATAAATAAACATTCTGTTAAGGGATATAGTTACACACTGCATTGGATGTTTATTTCTAACGACTTATAGTGTTAGTATACGGTGTTTTTAGTACAACGCCCACGGATAAGGCTAACTAACGGCTCCTCAACATCCCAGGGACGACTTGAGATTTTTTACAACAATACATGGGGAACAGTCTGTGACGATAGCTTCGACAATGACGCCGCTGGTGTAGTCTGTCACATGCTTGGCTTCAGACGGTACCATACTAAATCTCTGTCTTCTTGTCAAATAGTATAGTAACGATTATGGATTTTAAAGTAATCAAGCAATATTTTTATAGCTCGACACATAGATAAGTAAACGTTTCTGTGCTACAATATAGTTAAGACTCAATTTTTGCATTTAAACCTGTACCGTACTCTGCGGTAGCAATTTAGTAGTTATTTCCTTCCATTACTTAATCGAATACATCCATCAGTTTTTATCCGATAACAGAATATCTATTCTCAAATGACATTTTTCTTAAAGGGATAAAGCGTTAGCCCTCTCTAATGCTCACTTTGGACAAGGAACGGGACCGATATTGCTCGATGATGTTGGCTGCACGGGCACTGAGAACAATATTCTTCAGTGTCGCAACAAAGGCTGGTATCAGAACAATTGCGGTCACAATGAGGATGTAGGAGTCATTTGCAACTCAGGTATTATATATAACCATTAAACAACTTTAACATTTCTTGAAATACTGTTTATGATTTCATCGAGGCATTGCTATCCTCTTCTGATGTATATACCAATTGCTCCAATATATTTCCTTTTGTCCCAAGGCCGAGCCCACTTACGTTTGGCTGATGGCAGGACTAGTAATCAGGGTCGAGTAGAAATCCAGATAGGCGGAACCTGGGGAACGGTATGTGATGACAGCTTTGATGAAAATGCTGCTAAGGTCGTCTGTAGAATGTTGCATAAGCCATCGTAAGTATAATGTTATGAAAATATATGCTCTCAAATTGTCTGCCTGTTTCTGTTTATGTCTGTGTGTGTGTATTACTCCCCCACTTTCCCCTGCTTGTTTAACTTCCTGTATGTCTATGTATTTTGGCTTGATGATATAACGGAATGCTTACAATTCAGACGTAACGCAGTACCAGTGACCGCAGCAGGGTTTGGACTGGGACAAGGTCCTATCTTTCTGGACGAAGTGCGCTGTTACGGCAATGAAACAGACATCCTTACCTGCAACACCAATCCAATAGGAACCAACGACTGTGACCACTCCGAGGACGTAGGGGTTATCTGTACTAACAGTAGGTACCATTAACACATTAATACTTATGGGGGGGTGGGGGGGGGTTTATTGTGATAATAGAAAGAGTTTATTGAAGCTTTTGAGAAGACTTCGATCAAGAGTTTGTTTTTCCTCAGTCGCCTGCACGGTTACAGGTCAAGGCCCCTAGCATCACTGACGAATCCTAGAAGGACGAATAGTTGTATGATGCAGTTTATTCATTAGTTGGCAGCACTGTATCAAATTCTAAATTATCATGGCAATAATATATTTATGTGTGTCAACAGCAGATCTATAGCGTGTAGTACAATATTAGAGCACTATATACATGTAGTATTGTTGTTATTAGATGACTTCCGATTATAGTTAATTATGATAATGCGATCACCGTGTTATAGATCAGCAGACCAATGTACAAGTACGACTGACAGGAGGGCCAAATGGAAACGAAGGACGACTCCAGGTCAACTACAATCACCAGTGGGGATCTGTGTGTGACGACAGTTTTAACGATTCTGCTGCTGCTGTTGTCTGTACCATGCTGCGAATCAATTTGTACGTGACTTTAAAACTAAATTCATGATTTCTAGATATAAGTACGTCGTGTTACAATTGGTCATAAATCCAATATAGTTTATATAGCATTATTTATCAGTTACTCCTTTATAATGTAACTAATCACCTATATATCCTTTTACCGAAATATTATACCAAATAGCTGATATCTCATCGAACATAAGGCGGGACAATTGTGAGGTCATATGAACCTAAGTCAAATGATTGACTTTATCGATATCATAGCAAATATAAATATGAAAATACACTTACTTTGTCGTTGATAGGATTTAGTCTTAAACACAAAAGATAGAAGTGACTTATCTCGTGAACATGACATGGAACAATTATCTTGTATTTGTTATACCACATTAGTGTCGGCAATCTTACTGAGTTCTATAGCAACACACCATCGACGGTCACTATTGAAATATGAAATGTTTTTAAGCATTTTTTGTGGTAAATTTAAGAGTACAGTCTTCATGTTATTTCTAATGGATAGATAGGAAACAGTATATTGATGAAATTGGGAAATAATAAAACAGAATATGATAAAAATGTCTCATTCCATATTATCAGCGTTCATGCGAGAGCAGTACCTGGTATTCGATACAACGTGTCTAATCCAGGACCCATTTGGATGGACGATGTCAAATGTTCCGGAAGAGAAGCATCCATTACCGGCTGTCAGCGAAGTCCCTTTGGTACCAATGATTGTGACCACACAGAAGATGTTGGCGTCATCTGCGAAACAGGTAAAACGGTTTTTTCTGTACTGGGCCTATAACTATAAGTGGGTTTATAACATTGATAATGTAGTTTTACTAGAACAATCTTATGACATATTTTTTTGCATTCCCTTCCTTTTATTTGCTGAAAAGCAATGTTCAAGGTAAGATATGTTTCCCTTGTTTCTTGACGAAACTTCACAATTATATCAGGTAGTAGATTGTCTAACAGTGCCCTGGACCTCAGATTTCTAAAGATGCGTATTGGAATACTGTAAAATAATTGCGTGTCAAATCATCGTGTTTAAAAAATGAATTTGATTTCATTGATAAATATACCTATGTAAGTGTACTAATACAGAATATGGCAGTGCATATACATATGAATTCGTGGATTTAGCGCACCCACAAAATAAACAAAAATAAATTTCCGCGAAAATTGATGATTTAAAGAAATCTTCAAGGAATTGCAATGTTGAAATTGTAGCCCAGTCCCTTCAGGTATCGGTGCGTCTGGTAAACGGAACAAACGGTAACAACGGCCGAGTAGAGGTACTACACAACAATGTATGGGGAACTATCTGTGATGATGGTTGGGGTGTCGCCGAAGCAACCGTCATTTGCCAACAATTGGGAAAGCCAACGTAAGATACATATAAACTGTTCTTTTCATTCTGGTACATTTAAATTTATGTAAAATATCGAAAAGGGGTTGTATGGTATTCAATTGTTGTCAGCAGTTTGTATAACGAATGCATTTTCCAAATTCGTCAATCCATGATTGGTGATTACATGAAACACGAACAGAAATCTTGTTTTTAGGTCGTTATACTATCTAATATTATCATGAGTATAGTTGAACGATGTAACTAACAAATCCATGCGTTCTATGACCTGATGAACTAAGTGAGTAGTTGTATAATATTGAAGGTCGGTGGTGGTTCCTGTGTCCAATGCATTTTATGGGGCAGGAAGTGGGCCAATCTTGGTCGACGACATTGACTGCGTGGGTAACGAGACAAGTATTGCTTTGTGTCAGAGGAAACCCTGGGGTATCAGTGATTGTTCACATCAGGAAGATGCCGGAGTCATGTGTTACGGTAAGGTAGCAATAGTTTCGAGTCGGGTATAAAATATAATTTCCACTCGGGAACTTGTATGACATAAGAATATTTCCGTACTTATTATACGCACGTAGCGTGCCATACATATGTAACGCAACACGTATCCTGATCAGAACTCTTGTGGCTTCATTCCTAGAGGGAGGTTTTCAAACATCAAACCTCAAAATATAAACTGAAGTTTTTAGCGTCAAGCTCGAGGCAATCGTTGGTATTTTACCATTTTTGTTTTTGTTTTTTTTTAATTCCAAAACAGCGGTGTTATCCTTTGTGAGATTTTGATCAAACTTCATATATTTGGCCATTTCCTAACATCTAAACTGCATATTACGATATAAGCAAATAAAGCAATTATCAATTTTGTTACATGTAACAGAAAAATTAAAAAAGAATTTACAGACGAACTATTAAAAAAAGAAATTTATTTAAGCTTTCTCTTTTTTCAAAATATTTGTTAAACCATTCAAGTCATTTGAGCAGCAAGCATCAATCGGAATAATTGATTAACCGTTTACAGCGAGAAATCCAAGCACGACGGTATCAGTACGTCTGGTTGGGGGTCTGTCCCATAGCCAAGGACGTGTCCAGGTTAGGTACAATGGCGTATGGGGATCTGTATGTGACGATTCATGGGATAACAGAGATGCCATGGTCATTTGTCGTATGCTTGGATTTAGCACGTGAGTCATTACAAATATCTTTCGGGAGCATCTTTTTACCATTCCGGAAGAATTCCGGATCCACTAAGAGAAATCGGCAACAAAAATACAATTTCATACCGATAGCTGATGTGTTTTTAAACCAACAGACTCTATGAAAAACATGTGGTTTGGGGCAGTGGCCCAAATTGAAAAAAAAAATCTAAATATATTTTAATTATAATAAAATATAAAAATGTATTCATATTCATAACTAGTAAATTATGCACACAACCTTTAATTACCAAGGTGACCATATATTAACAAAGCATTTCATTCGTTATTGTGTAAGTTTACGAACACATATAGGTCTTTGCGTGTAGACTTGAAAACCGATATTGAATGTTATGTTATCGATAGCACTGGTGCGAGGGCGCTCCAAAATATAGGGACAGGGCGGGGCCCTATATGGATGGACGATGTAGAATGCTCTGGTGCTGAAAGGAACATCCAGAACTGTACGTTCAAAGGTTGGGCCGAGAACAACTGTGACCACTCAGAGGATGCTGGTGTCTATTGTAATGATGGTGGGTGTCAATAGGCATAACATCGATAATAAAAAGTATTTATGATATCATGAGGATTAAAATTTTATGTGCGAAACACCTTTACGCACATCTCAATTATTAATGTTTTTTGAGCTCATCGTTAGCTTTCCCTTCGAGATGTTTCTATTTGGTAAATGCTTATTCAGTTCTACTTGGTTCCATTTGTGTCGATAAACACATTCCAATCTGTTAACACCTGCTTCATAGTGATATACATCTATTCTTGAAGAGGAAAATCCATCTTTTTTCAGGTCGAACTGTCAACGTACCTATAAGATTAGTCAACGGTCCATCAGCCATGGAAGGACGAGTAGAGGTTCAATACAACAGAATTTGGGGAACAGTATGTGATGACTACTGGTCAAATGCCGACGCGCAGGTTGTATGTAGGATGTTAGGATACTCCACGTAAGTCTCTATCGATGACAGCTGGCCATTGATTAAATACCAAAAATTAATAACCAAACTAAATTGATCTTGAGAAAGTATGTATGGTGAGAAAAGTAACGTTGTATCGCTAGTTCAAGATATCACATCGTATTCAAGATAATTTGAAACACGTTTTGGGATAAAAATGTTGATGTTATAATTAAAAATTGGAGACTTTCTTTGTGATGGGTAATTTAACTTGATATCAAGATCTGATCTCAGTCAAGGTAAAAAAAGTTGTTATCAAGATTTGATACATCAACTTTTAAACAGTTTTTAATAGTTAAGAATCTAATATAACTATTTGAAATGCAAAGCGATAGTTATATACAAAAGAAAATACCAAATTTGTATTTTCAAGTATTTTCAAAAACTTCACTTGGTTGGGTGATTATAATGGATATATAGATATATGCCAAGAAGTCATTTATTATCTATACTCCTCGATCAATCGGTAGTCACAAAAGGTAGTGATATGTTCCCACCATTATCCTAAAGTTTATTGAAATATCATGATATAATTTTTGTTGTCAATGTGCCGAGATTTAGTTCAACATTATTTATTTTAGTTCATGTCTGCATGGTCGTTTCGCCCAAACCACTTTCCAGTGTTGTGGGGAACGAAATAGTCTTTTTTACTGAATAAGTAATAAGAATTTAATCAAATGCTGAATTTTGCCTATAGCCAGTATAATAATATCCCAAGTAAGTGTAACTAATCCTGCTGTAGAATCCATGAAAAAACAATAGAAATAATTGTCTTAGGCAAAGTGTTTTTTGTCCTTATTTCCTTGAAAACTATAAGGTGACATGCACTTCCAACAGAGATGGCGCTCAGGCCTTCAATCAGTCCAGATATGGTCAAGGGAATGGACATATCCTGATGGATGACGTCAGATGTGTAGGTACAGAGAGAAACATAGGACAATGCCAGTTCCAGGGATGGTCTATCAACAACTGTGATCATTCTGAAGATGCAGGTGTTCGTTGTAACCCAGGTACATATCAATGTCTGCAAAATATAAACTACATCTCGTCGACTTTCCTCCATTTGAAAATCTTTATTTCTTTTCATTGTCGTTTGAACTACATATTATTTGCTTGTTTAACTTTTTTATATTATATAAAACAAGAAATGATTTTCTCTCATTAACTGAATTTATTTTGGCAACGATATGAATCAAGCTGTTTATCGTTTTACTTAGTTATTCTTGTAGTGTCAGATGAAATCGCGGGGAAAGTTGTAGTGTACTATTGTTTGCTGAAACCAGTCAGGCAGGAAAATCCCTATCTTACAACATAGTAACTATTAGTAAATCGAAACTTTGTCACTAAGGTGGAAAGTTTAAGCGTGTCTTAGTAGTATGTAACTGTACTATAGCATGCAGGTCAATATTCAAATATATAACTGGTAAATGAATTTGTTTCCTTGCAGCTGGAACCGTAACGACCAACGTGCAAGTAAGGCTGGTGAATGGATCCAACAGCAATGAGGGTCGAGTGGAAGTCTTCTACAACAACACTTGGGGCACAATTTGTGACGACTACTGGGGAGCAGTGGACGCAAAAGTGATTTGTCGCATGCTTGGCAAACCTACGTAAGTCATTGTAACTCTTAAACTTAGACAAGTCATGATATTACTAAAGTATGCTAGGTAAACCTGGACCAGTCAAAACGATACTAAAACATGCTGGGTAAATAAAAAAAAATGCCAAAGTGATCCGATATTTAAACATGCTGGGTAAATAAAGACAAATCAAAGCGAAAATAAAACATGCTGGGTAAACCTTGACAAGTCGAAGTAACACTTAAATACGCTGGGTTAAATTTCAAATTGATATTTTAACATGCTCGCTCGTGCTGTGTAAACATTAGTTCGTTAAGAGCATGCAGTGCGAACCTGGGTCAGTCATAGTAATACTTAAACGTGCTGCTGGATTAACTCGTATATATGAATTGAATACAAAATGATGCTTTTCAAAGTTTAATTATTGTTGAAGCATGAAAGGCAAATAATGCAGAAATGTTGTGTTTTGATACACCATGCGGTTCATTTGATGATAATCTACATTGAAAACTTTTCCGTCTTCGCTTCAATTACGGTTTCCATTAAAACTATCAATATTGCCCTATAGTTATCAAAAGTATTTATATTAGAAGATTAATATTACTAATTTTATGATTAAATGATAATAAGGAAGCAGATTTGAAGCAAATCTCTTCAAGTACTATTGAAATGGTGATAAAAAAGTAACAAAAGGTGCAAGCAAATATATGCAATATTATCATATTCGATTTGATTGATCGAATAAATGAATATCAAATTTGATTATAAATGTAGAATTTACCAAAATAGTGTTAATTTATCATAGTATTGGAGCTGTTGCCAAAACGAACGCATTCTACGGACCCGGAGCTGGACCTATACTGTTGGACAATGTTAACTGTTTGGGAAACGAGACAAGTATTTCTCAGTGTGGAAATCGTGGATGGGGTATAAACAATTGTGGTCACAGAGAGGATGCTGGCGTCATATGTGCTGGTAATACTGACAAACAGTTTTGTTGAGAGATATGCTAGCAAACATACATCCTACAAGCATTTAGATTACATCAAAAATTTTAATTTGGAAAGCCTACCATTTACATTTATTACCTTAATCTAAGCATTTTGGAAAGTTGATATTTGCGAATATTTAGTGACCTTGAAAAGACATTTGATTTAAGATAGCTTAATGCTTACACATGTTATGTAGCAAATTATATCATATGACTTATATTCTGACCTTTGAAAATTACTAAATACTGATATGAGTATATCATATTTTAATTATCTGGAAGTCAAACATAAAATACATACATGTATTGGGTTGCTTAGGCCGTACCCAAGTGACTCCTGTGCGTCTTGTCGGTGGAGTTAGCCGTTACGAAGGTCGTTTGGAGGTGTACCATGCAGGAGTGTGGGGTACCGTATGTGATGATATGGCCAGTTTCCACACTGCTACAGTTGTTTGTAACCAGCTTGGGTACTCAGGGTGAGTGCAGATATTGTTTGGTGATGGTTACACATTTTTTTTAATTCCAATTTGAGAGCATTACTCAGTATACCATATTAACACATCGGCATGGTTACGCTCATGGCTAGAAAACCTATTATTAAAACTTGTTATTTGACTATGTCAATTGTTATTATTAAAACCTAAAATGTGCAAGTTTACCTTTTAATTGTTATAATTTCCAGCGGCATTCCATCTTTTCGAGGCAATGCATTCTATGGAGCAGGAACAGGCAGGATATGGATGGATGACTTGCGATGTTCTGGTACAGAGATATCGCTCGATGGTTGTGACTTTAACCAGCCGTGGGGCACTAATGATTGCGATCACAGTGAGGACCTTGGAATTGTTTGTAGGAGTATGTATTTTACTATTTGCAGGACCTAATATTACATATTGAAATTTGGTTTCATCAAAAACTGTGGTAAAACGAACACGTTGTCTTTCACGTCGTTATGGCATCATATATATATGTTGTTTAACGCGTTGATCAGCTTTACTTTTCATTTGTAATGTTGCTTACAGCTCCAACTGTACCCCTAAGACTGGTGGATGCAAGTGGGAATCCCAATCAGGGCCGCGTTGAGATTCGAGTCAACAATACGTGGGGAACCGTGTGCGATGATATGTTCAACTCGGTCTCGGCTGGCGTCGTGTGTGCCATGCAAGGATACAGCAGGTTCGTTTTATTGATAGTAGTGTAACGACCATATAACCTCGAATGACATAGATCTGACAAATTAAAAACAATTGAAGTTATAACAGCATGTCGATCCACATTCTGATTTCAGGTATTGCTATAATCTTTGCTTGACCGACATCCTGACCCATTTGCATGTTAATCAAACAAGCTTTATATTATTTACCAGTATTCATGGAATAATTATGATTTGATACATATAAAAAGTTGTTATTTGGTCACCTGAGACAAAGTCTGAGTTTGACCTATTTGCGTAAAACGTTTTAATATTTTCGACTTCTTTTGGAAAATTCCTGTCTGAACCGATTTCAATAAAATTTTACAAAAAACCTTCCATGGCTTAAACGCACCAAAATGTCTTTAACTGTTATGGTCCCAAATGCCAAGGGACCTGAGGAGCGGGGCCAAAAAGGGTCAAGTTCATCGAAACTTCAAAAATCGTCTTCTCAATATCCAGATAATGTAGAATAAAATACTCTTCATGGATTGAAGTACCTTACGGCGCTTTATAAAAATTGTAAATTTCATGACCCCAAGACCCTCACATTTCCCCTTGAGGAGGGGGTGAAATTACATTTTTATGTATGATCTATTTTTTTCAGAAATTGTTCAAACTTGGCTAGTAGTATTTTTTTATTAGTGGAAGCTGAAAGTTCGATGAGATGCACATATTGTTCATGACAGACCCCCAGGTGTTGATGGGCGGTGCCAAAAAATGGTGAAATTGAGTGAAAGATGTTTCTAGGTGGAAGATATTATATAGGAAATTTCAAATCTGTGTAATTTCTTTTAATTCAAACTTGGTTAGAAGCCTTAGTGTGGGATAGTAGTTAATGTATACACAATTTATATTTGCATTAAGTGTACAATATGGTTAAAGTTATATTACTGGTTTTTTTTTTTTTTTAACAAATTCATTTGTTTGACATGTTACACGTAGCGTTGTGGCTCTGATGTCCGTTGCAGCCCTTGGTCCTCTTGCTATGCTTGAGTAATAGTGTGCTTTGATGCAATATAATTGCAGTATATATGTTTAATGTTACAGGACGGGAGCTATAGCAAAAGGTTCGGCCTACTTTGGTTCCGGAAGTGGGCCTATTCTCCTGGACGATGTACACTGTGTAGGAGGCGAGGCCAACATACTTCAATGTGCTTCTAAATCATTTGGAATCAACGACTGTTCTCACGGGGAGGATGTTGGGGTCATATGTCGAGTTGGTTAGTGATGCGGACATTTTAGAAATTTAGTAGACATGCACTTTCAGGATTTAAAGTAAATGAATAACCATAACTATTCTATCAACTTTTTTATTTAAAAGAATTTGGCAGTGAGAAGAAAATTCAGTAAGACGCTTTGCGATATATATGTAAATTAATGTTGCAAACGTGGTGGGGTGGTAAAATATAAAACTCCAGATAAATAGCAATGGCATGACAAGATCAATCACTTAAATGGTCACCACTTATATTTTAAAACAATCAAGCCATATAAGGCCGTTATGTAATTTTGACTTTCGACCAAGTATAGCAAAATCAATTCAGGTAAATATATTTTACAGTCGTCATAAAATTGTTCAACATTGTGATTTTTTTTATTAACAGAATCGATTCCGATGCGCCTAGTAGGTGGACCAAACCGTATGAGTGGACGACTGGAAATATTACACAACGGCACTTGGGGAACGGTTTGTGACGATTATTGGACCTCCTCACAAAATGCCAAGGTTGTCTGTCGCATGCTGGGTTATCCAACGTAAGTACTCGTATTCTTTTTGAAATGCGATAACAGAAATGGTACAAGTTCTTATTTACCTGTCCAATAAAGATCATCTAATGAATTCATACTTTTTTTTGACAAGTGAATGTACACGATGATACAGTGGTGTCTTGAAATGTATTCATCGCGATAATGGTAATGACTGCTTAAAGTCATGCACACATGATTTCGATAAAGCCGGAGTGACTAAGGAGTTGCACACCAATACCTGGCATTTCCATAGCGCCAGTCTCGTGCCTCAAATACATAATCATATTCCCTTGTTTGCCATATACGACATACAATGAAAACATTTTTTTGCAATATAGGCTTTGGAGGCTTGAGCCTATTTCTCCTAAAACAGGTCTCCAGAAGCATTATATTAAAGTTACATCCTTTTATTTATCGTTCATAGACAAACTAGAATCAACTTTGAATTATGCAGTTCGGCATTTCGTTTAATTCATCTTTACCGACATTATGCTGTAAATGGTATTATTAAGTCATAATAATTCAGTTTGTTAAAAATGAGTAGTGCTCTCTTTTTCCTGCTTTTTTCTTTTCAATATGAGTTGTTGTTCACATGCGTTCTATACCGCTACCTCAGTGTTGGAGCATACTCACGCTCGAGAGCCTTCTTTGGACAAGGAACTGGACAAATATGGCTGGATGATCTCCGGTGTAGTGGTAATGAAAGCTCAATTTCGATGTGTTCCCATCGTCCTTGGGGCTTAAATAACTGTCACCATACAGAAGATATTGGTGTTGTATGTTCAGCAAGTATGTTTCTCTTTTAATTACTAAAATTTCCTATATCCAACACTGCAATGTTGAGCCGTGTCTTATTGGCAACAGTATATAGAACACGCGATTCTGCTTAATAAAATATAAAGTAAAATACAAATGAGTACAGAACTTAATTCTACTATGGTTAATATCATGCTTCCTATTGTAAAACAGTGCACTTGCCAACCCTTTCCATTCCATCCGCAGGATCCCGATTTCAATCTCCCTGTCCCATTTCCCAATCACATTTCCCGATTTAAGGAATTCTAACGGGCAAGTCATAACTATGTTGTCCAAACAAAACAGTATCATAGGAAAAACTGACCACTTAGCAACCTTATTTATGTCTAGGTGAGACACTGCCAAATTATCTTATAAATGTAACTTGGTTATGAGTATCTATCGTCAATTTTGCTTTGCCTTTACAGATTTTTTTCAATTTGCTCTCTTCTGTTTTTATTCTCCATTTTTAAGCATTTGCCGTGATTGATTCGATAGTAAGGTTGCTGTTATCTTGCTTAGATAGTGAAGTTGTAACATTAGGAATTTGTTTTATGTAGCAACAACTCCTGCGATAACCACGCAACATGTGACACGACCTCCTCCGTCGACACCGAACCCCAGTCAGGTGTTCGTGCGTCTCGTCAATGGTAACTCTGCCAACGTAGGGCGTGTGGAAGTGTTTGCTAGCAACAAGTGGGGTACTGTGTGCGATGACCTCTGGAGTAGTAACGACGCGGGAGTCATATGTCGGATGCTTGGCTACAGCAGGTATGCACATAATGAAAAAGTCTCAATTTTTATCTTCTCTCATGCAAACCTTATGTTTGCTGTACACGTTTCCAGTTATTGCACATTTGATTCAAAATTGTAAATTACAATAGTCTTGCGCATGTGGGTGTATTTATAACAAATCAATATGCGTCTATGCATTCATGTTTAAATGTAATTTGCAGTCATATAAATTGACTTTTATGTCCAGTGTCTAGATTATATGTATATTCAAATGTTGTGACACAGCAAAGACAATGTAGTGCAGAAATCATATGATGTCATCAGGAGAATAATGATACACGTAAACGAAATTTAGGTTAGATATCTTCATGTACGTCACAATTGATTATAAATTATTAACGTCATCATTTATATAACCGACAAATGTATCTTGGATTTATTTGAAATATAGTCCTTGACTTTACGAGAAGATCTTTGTATTTTCCTGCTTATAGTACTGGAGCTATACCAAAGGCGCGGGCACAGTTTGGACAGGGATCAGGACAGATATGGCTGGACAACGTCAACTGTTCTGGTGCTGAATCGTCCATCACGGCATGCCACTCAAATGGCTGGGGTGCTCATAACTGTGGTCACCAAGAAGATGCCGGAGTAGTCTGTTCCACCGGTAAGTCGTCCAAAAACAAAGTCGCGAGATAATTAAAGTTCAATGTGGTACTGGAGACAAGGTAATAAAGAACGATGTACGACGACATAGTAGTTTTCTTATTATTGCCTGCTATGGATGTGACATCAACTAGGTAATTTTTTCCAAATGCTCCTAACCAAAAACAAAGATGGAAGGAACTGCTTTCCTAGAATTAGACGGAAATAGTTTCGTTTTCTTATGAGACATGAAACATGCAGTTCGATCAACGGTAACTTAAGCTGCCTGATTTGACCATCATTATTCAATAAATACATCGAAATCTTGGGAATTGTCCATCAGTCTAAATATGAGTTTACAACGCTATAGTCAACGCTTGTAGCAGATGAAATTGAGTGTTGTGACGTTGTCAGCAAATGTCAAAGAAACATATAGGGTTATTTGATTGTTTATGTGTCCTTATTTATAAAATCATAGTAAGGATTCTGTTGAAGTCTTTTTTGAGTTGAAATTTATATGACTGAATGTCCTGTTTTGGTGTCTCGTTATTCACGTATTCCTCTTTTGTAATGATTTTTTGCCTATAGTTATTAAATCCTCTATATATCTGTAATATAATTAATTTCGAAACAACGTTGGTGCCCTTAAATAGGATACTTTTACATATTTTTCTTTGCAGGCCAAATTCCAAATAACTTCCTACTTGTGACGGATACCACAGATAGACAGGTATACCGTATGGACATAAACACTCAGAGCTACGTCACTATTCCACTAAGTAACCATGACAACCCAATTGCAATCGATTACAATCCTACCACATACCGGATCCTCTGGACTGACGTCGGATCGAAGCAGATTCGTAGGGCGTCACTCAACGGCTTTTCAGAGCAGACCATTCGTCAACTTTCTCGAAGTAATATGAAAGTTTGACTATTTTTGCAATACATGTATAAGTTAACTGTTAAAGTAAAAGCTCTTTGTAAAGCATATCGAATATACCGTAATGAACGTTAATTGCCATCACGTTTTTATTTCCATTGATCCCATAGGCATCTTTAACTACACATTCATAGTCCCATGTATAAAAAGAGTAAAAAATTGAATTGGATTTTAAGAGTAAGCTTAACTTTGGAAAACTGAACTACAGACACACGGAAGTGGAAACCTGTTTTTAACACCATTATAGAATCAGACACACAAAAGCCAAATAATGAATTCAGCTTCATAATACACCTGTTTCCTTCCAGGAATTGTCACTGATGCTTAGGGCTTTAATTCTGAAATCTAACTGGGGACTCAGGAAATCCAAAATTTATAGAAAGTGTGTCAAAATCAAGATAGAGTGGTGCAGCAGTTCCATAATTCGATAAAACTTCGTCATTTCTATATCAGATAGCAAATACAGGAAAATGCAAGTAACCAACTGCTTGTGTTACAGAGGCAGTAATGGACGGCATTGCAGTGGATGTCGTGTCTGGATTGGTATTTTACACCGACACCGGAAATGATGTAATTATTGTCATGACTATCGCCGGAACCGTACAGAAAACCATCATCAACCAGAATCTGGACCAACCGAGGGCTATAGTCACAGATCCACAAAATGGGTAAAAATAACATACATATAGTAGCATTCTATCTTAAAAATTCAATTTATCAGCTTAAAATGTAAAACGAAAAGTGTATAAATTATAGACTACCACAAAAAACCGAGCTGAAATTGATTGACATTCGGAAAAAAACATTGAAATATTTTACTGTTTTACATTTATTGACGTAGAGCACAACTCGAAAGAATAAGGAAGAATCACCCAATGGGATTCATAAAATGAAAGATAATGGAGTAACAATGAAGACAATATGCAAATTACACAAAGAAACATGCACAATGCCATATTTGTATATCATCGTACATAGCCTTCATTGCTACTTTTGTGGGTATTGTGATAGATCACTGGGTAAAGTGTTGGTTTTTGCAACGTCTTGGGGGATTTGCGGTGTGTAGTTCAACGCTTTCTTCCTGTGTCCATTGGTGTTTTTCATGAAGAGAAATGGATCAGTCTCTGTTGTCATTGTAGTGTCTGTGTTCTTGGGCAAGACTCTTTACCCCTGTTGCTCTAAATGGCATACTGTCTACCGAGGTAGCCACTTGCAACACCAAGGACCCGCCTCAAAATGAGCTCGTCTGTTGTTTTCAAATTTCAGAGTGATATACTGGACAGATTGGGGAGCCAGACCTAGAATAGAGCGGGCTAACTACGATGGCACGGGGAGAACTGCAATCATAAACTCAGGGCTTAAATGGCCGAATGCATTAGCAGTAGACGTTCAGGGCAACAAATTATATTGGGCTGACGGTGGTCTTAATAAGATAGAATCGGCTAACCTTGACGGGAGTCAGCGAACTCTCCTCCTTGATGAGAGCACCAGTCGTCCTATAGCTCATTACTTTGGCTTGGCCTTGCTCAGTGGTCAATTGTACTTTACAGATTGGTCTCGCACGTAAGCAGTTTTTATCATGATTCATGCGTTCTGAGTTACATGCCGCTAAATATTGTTTGATTATGAATGTTGACACATCAAGCAGAATAATATATAGCAATATCTGATGCATAAATACCACATATTTAATATAAGTTTGCATTGAAGATTATGGAATAAAGTATTCTGCCTTATAATCGTTTTTGATCAATGACCTTTTCTGGTTTGGCTTTTGGCAGTTCAATTATGACTATGGGCATTGACGGATCCAATCCAAGACCATTTGGACCTGCAGCCTTTGGAAGACTCAACGATATTCATGCGCATAATAACGGGATGGGATTCACTGGTCAAAACGGATGTTCCACAGGGAAGGGTGGATGCAGCCATTTATGTTTACCTAAGGGAGCTAATAACCATATATGTGCCTGTCCAGACGGTCTTACACTGCAGCCAAATGGACTCAGTTGTGGTCAAGGTAGCTTTACGCCTCTCCACCCATATAATTAATCGTATACAGGCATACATATACTAAAACCTATTATTATATTTATATACATATTGCCTACACGTTGCATATTTTGTCGTTTATTTAAGACGATAAGATATTATAGTTAACTGAATCTACTACACAAGTTTTTTGTACACATTTGCGAATGAATGTCCTTTTCACCAAGTGTTTATGAATGAAAACATTTGTTCTAATTCGGTTGTTCCAGCTGTTCCGTGTTCAAGCTTACAGGCTCCACAGAATGGCCAAATCACTCCGGCCAATTGTACCAGTGGTCAATCAGGTGGAGGAGCTGTTTGTCAAGTGTCATGTAACGCTGGGTACTTCTTGTATGGTCAATCAAATGTAACCTGCTTATCCAATGGACAGTGGAGTAATTATGGACAAAACTTTATATGCCGAGGTAACTCAGTCAATGGTTGCTACATTCAGCTCTCGGTCTGAAAAGTTAGAATAGATGTACTGTCAATATGAAATGTTAGTATATTGACATATAAGATTTGTTTGTTTTTGTTTTGTTTTATTTTTTTAAGTTTTATGAATTTTAGTTTCTTAATCATATCCTTTGTCTACTATGTTTAGACAACCAGCCACCGGTAGTTACATGCCCAGCAAACATGCAAGTCAGCGCCAACAAGGGAGCACAGACAGCAACCGTTACATGGCAAAAACCCACGGCCACTGACAATTCCGGTTCCAACGTGGTCGTGTTCCAGAACATGCAATCTCCAACCACTCTTGGCGCAGGAACCTACACAGTCAATGCGATGGCTTATGACCCATCTGGGCAATCCGCATCCTGTAGCTTTACTATCAAGGTCACAGGTACAGACGGACTTTATCAAATGGATTAGGCTTAAATTGTAATACCGAAAGGCAAAAATAAACGGAAAATTCGCTAATCAAAATAATAACACAGATAATAAACAAAACATCAGAATAGGAGAAAAATAACTTTCCAGAAAGCACACCCGAACCACCGTCCAACACCAAATGACAATACAAAAATCTCACTTCAACTATGGCACAACATATAGACTCGATTGCGAGCATTTTTTATGAACGAGAACCATATTCAACACTTTGGTTTTTCGATGTGCGAAATTTTCAGCGAATATGTAATTCAATATATAAGAGGGCTATAGATAGCAATTGATGAATATACACTATGTCATGATTATAGCAATCAAGTTCCTAATAAAATATGTATTAACATAGGGTCAACGGGAGTTTATAAACATTATGTCATAAATATCATAGGTAGCAGAATGATTGATGAAAAATATGAAACGTTGCATAAAAGATTTTGCTATAAATAGTAATAAGTCTTCACAAAGTGACATTGTGTTTACTATTTTAGTGTTGACTTGTCCACCATTAAACCCTCCTACCAATGCGGTCATTGCCTCACCAACTTGCGGGTCTTACTACGGGGCATCCTGTCAGATCAGTTGTCAATCGGGGTACCAGTTAAAGGGCAACTCGTACGTTTCATGTGATAAGAGCGGAACAGGAAGCCCAGCGTGGACACTCGCAGGAAGGTCATGCGTGCGTGAGTATGCCATTTGAATCTGGTTCTGAATAGGTAAATTAATATCTCATTACATAACATATTGTTGCATTATCTCTTATGTAATGATTATTACAACTATTAATTCCCTCGTCCAACACCGAGATGAAGCGAATTTCGGTTATTAAGTTGATTTACCAGTTCATCATTTTTGAAGTATGATAAATCATTAACAGTCATTTTCTCTCCTGGGAAGGTATATCGGTTTCTCTTCTGCAATCACCTGACATGACATAATTACTTCATTAATGTTTGGATTAGCATTTTCTTCAGGCATGCTTTAAGTGTATTGCTATAATTATAGGGTCACAGTGGCCATTCTAACATATATACATTCAACATTAAACATATGAACATACCGTGCTATGTATATAAAGATACATGTATCTATAAATATACCTTTTCAGTGTTGACATGTCCTAAGCCACTGTTGCCCGGAAATGGTAAGATCACATCCTGTACGTCTCCGTATACAGTAGGAACCTTGTGTGTCCAGTCCTGTAATAAAGGATTCTCAGCCATCGGTGGAACAACCAACCTCCAATGTCAGTCAAACGGCGTTTGGGCTGGCCAAACCCTTACGTGCTCCTACGGTTAGTATAGCATATTAATCATATCAACACATACAGATATAAGGCATAAACAAACCAGTCAATTGTCTTCTTTAGTTCTGCAGAAAGCTTACCAACGATGTGCCACTCTTAATACAAATGTAGACGTATATGCAGTACATCTATTAAATGACAAATGGAAGTAGCAATCATTTGTGCAACATATACATATATATATTTGATCAGGAAATTAGGAGTTATTGCTCAAATATTGTAATAGATTTAGTCTACAGCTAATTATGGCTATGTAGTTTTTGAGTGACCGCGCAAAATAAAAACTAGATCATTTTGAAACTGCAGAGTTTGAACACGAATTTCAAGCCGAAATATATATATATGTGTATATACATAGTCTGGAATCAAAGAAAAAAAAAGTCGCTTTTTGACCTTTTTTTCAAACTATATAAATATATTACATCGAAACTATCTTCACATTTTTGTGTAGGTGCGACTGGTTCAGGTTCCGCGGCAGCACTCCGCTCTGGGTCCTCTTCCTCTTCCTCCTCGTCATCTCTTTCGGAAAGCAGTATATCAGGGATCATAGCGGGTTCTGTCATAGGTGTCCTTCTCGTTGTCTTAGTAATTGCGGCTGTATTCCTTTACAACAAAAGAATGTAAGTATATGGTAATACCTAAAAAACAAATTCATTGTTTTGACACTTAGTATACTGTAAATATTGAGTAATATTTGAGCAGTTTTACCAACAATTTGATAAAGAAAGATACTATTTTTCTTGCTAAGCCATGAAATGGACAATTGTTTTCTATTAACGCAGTTCTACTGTATTCTTCAAAAATATTGAAACACGGAATCCCATGAGATAAGGGTAGCCATATGATTCATGAAGTACATCATGCTTACGCTGTGTGTTCTCTGAATTCACATATAGAATTTTATGTTAAAACATATCCCGTTATTTCTAATCATTCATGAAGAACTGAGTATGATAATTCAGACCCAAACTCAACAAATATGACATCGCCGAATACTGATATTCTATTAAGATTTTGCAAAGGTGTCGTAATATAAAGTCATGTATCAATGCTATGAAAAATTCTATGAAAATTCAGCTATGAAAAATGTCATAAGAAAGCGTTTTAGAATATGCTTTAACAAAGCTAAAGAATATTATGTCCTTACATTTTATGTTCCTCTTTATGTATTGTGTAGAAGTTTTTATATAATCGTGATTCTTTCACGTGCATTCCAATATAAATTCAAAAACAAATGATAATATGTCATTACACTAATTGATTACTCATCTACTCCTGACAGGCAACATAATTTGATAGCCGGTACAGGTGGAGCACGGAGTTATGAGATGGGAGGAATGAGCAACCCTAACTACAGCAGCACTTCCAACTGAAAACATCATTGAGGCGGAGACACATTCATTTTGATCATATGAAAGCTCATACTCAAGAGATTCAGATAGTTCATAAGAAAACGTTTACGTACTAAGTGTAATGATATTTTTGTGCAGTTAAAATACACAAAGTCGCAGGAACTTTGTGGCAATCTTTGCGTTTTACCATTGTATGTTTGTGATCAAGATATATTGAAAACGTTGTCAATTGAATTTTTTCGATTCATCAGTTACATTAAGCATATTCGATGCTGCCTGCATCGATATTGTTTTTTCATTGCTCGTAAGTGCGAGCGAAAAAGATCAAACGTTATGATATACATCATACATTTCTTCTTCAAATTTTCCATTAGTTTTACAAATACATGAAATAGAAATGTCTAAAGCATTGTGCTGATATTCTAAGATCATTTTAACTTGGGTGACAGTGAGGTATGGATTTAAACAAACAGTAGAAGAAAAATCTCCAAATTAATACGAGAATGCATGAATTTGTTTTAGAAGGAAATATCGTTTTAAATAATTAAAATGTATTAAGCCCAGTGTATGGTATACGACATGAAAAGCTCATTATCGATTTTTTATCATCAGGCAGAATTATTTATTATGCTTTTATTTTCATTCCTTGTTGTTTATGGCTTTACGATGTGAAAGTTAATTCTGTGAAGATTTGCAATGTATGGCTATATGGAGTGGTTTATTTGTTGACTGTCAACATTGCTGTGATCGAAAGCGTGTGAACTGGCACGTTCATCGATGTCAGTACCTATCGTGCCCCTTTCCTGTCTCATAAATCAACGTTACCAAATAACAATATTGGGCAATTTTCTACTAATCATAGTTAGGCAGATAATATGCTACGTAAAACTTTAAAATTTACTTCCATATATATGAGCATTTTTATAGCTAAATACTGCATACATATATAATCCAATTTGATGAATCTAATCAAGAAGGTGATATTATCTACCTCCAACTCTGAACGTAAGTTATGCATATTTTTACCAGATTAGGATTATAAGACGTCGAAATATATTTCTATCTACATTTTTCCATAATCATTAATTAGAATGTAAATTTACGCAAATAGTAAATTTATTTGTACTTACAGCGCCTTTAGCTTACAGTGCTTATGTTGGTTGTATTGATAGGAAAACGATATACACATGTCACCGGTGAAAAACTAGCACGTCGCCTACTGTGGTGAAGTGGAATTGGAGGAGTAAAAACCATTAATGTATACCTTGGGAATATAGACAATATAGTTCGATGCTATAAATAACAAATTGCAAGTCATCCCTTTATTCCATTTCATATAGCTGTAAAAGATGTCAGTTTGTTTCACCACACTTTTGCACGGTGTTAAGCATTAAATATGCAAACTACTTCTAGACTGAACAAGTGATGCCGAAGATATGTGATTTGCTGTCAGGGTGAAAATGGAAGAAAAAGGCTTTAGCCTCACCACTGATCTAGTGTGCCTGCATTAAAGAATACATCACCTATTCGTGTATGTTTCAGGTCAAAAATCAACATGATTCAGCACGCATTAAAGTATGCATTACACGTGGGCGACTGACGGGATGTTGCCGTTCTCCCAAAGCAATGCGCCTCAATGCAATTTTGTTTGGGCGACCACACCAATACACAACTATATGTGTATGCATTTCATATATATATAGGACCTATATATATGTATAATGAATACATTCCAAAGTACTATTTCATTTGAACATTATCGATCAATTCACATTTTTCATATGACAATTGTTTTATTAGAGAGATGAATGGACATGAGAGGTTTATTAATTATCGTAGCGATACTTATAGCATGACAGAGGAATTGTGACAGTGTGTACAACGACTCAAAAGGTCACGTTTCATGTTTATATACTTAATGTTCATCATGTCTACCTTAGGGAGCGATGGTTGGTCATGTTTCTACATTACTAGTTTTAAATTTGATTTCAGTCATTGATTTTTTAAAAGAAATTGTTAATATTTGATGTTTTTGATTGATGACAGAACACGTGCAATTCCTGAATTGATACTCATCGTCAACTACAAATACTCTATGTTAAAGCAATTGATTTTTTAAAATAAAAGACAAATATACGACTGTTTTGTTTTTGTAGTTTGTAACTGAGGATACCATACCAAAATTATGTAATCGGAATTTGTCATTTCTCTATTTCTCAATCTTTTTAATGTACGGCGATAGTCACAAAAGCTCGTGAACAACAGAATTTTTAACACCGATACCCTTGAAAATGTATCGAGACAATACATCCGCCATGTAAATCTTGTTAAAGTCAAGTAACAGATTCCTCATTCATAAATAAAAACAAGGACAACGAAACGGGCATTTTAACAAATATGCATCACATAAGTCTTCATATTGCACAAGGAAATAGATCATTTCTAATTAAGATCGTGACGATGATAATAAAGTTTTCTGGTAGTCTTCATCAACATGCATCTCACGAACCATGTTTTGTAATATCATCTGTCTGGTGTCGTAGTCTTTTATGGATTTTATGATATTTGTAACAACACTTCAAGCATATGTGAAATAAAGACATTGTATGGTAGCGAAGCAGGGGTAGTACTATCCAAGAATGGAAAATTCACAATACAGATATCGGCATATCACACCTGGATGGACACCATTTACCGTTTGTTTCGTAGCAGGAGGTAAGATGCTAATAAAGGAGAGAGTTTTTTGTAAGTTAAATAAAATTCATTATCGATTAATGTATTTTGTCAAAGTTATATTTAAATGTCTTGATAAATTGTTTCATAAGCAAATTTAACCTGGTTTGAAAACAAAATTAAATCAGCAAAACTTTTTGAAACGTACAATTGAATTTCAAGTAATTAGTATCAGGAAACTGTATTAAAGTACAGAAATTGTAGCTAGATGTTTGAACAAAAGTCATATATAACTAAAACAAGGGCATATTGAACATTAGCAAGAACTATATAAGACTACATCATAGTTACAAAATGTGTATAGACCTAGGCATTGACTATACAGAACAACATGGTATGTTTTATATAGATGATAATATATAAAACAACAGAGTAGTAATATAGATATCCAGTTTGGTTCTGTAGATCTACAACACAGGCCACAAAGTAATACTAAATTATTTAAAGTTATAACACATTCTACAAAGAAAAAACACTTGTTTTTGTTTTAGCTAAAGCATCTGCTATATAGCATTACAATATGTTTTTAACAGTTATTACATAAAGCATGGCCCTTTAGAGCTATAACATAGGGCATACAGTTATATATTATGGTACTCAAAAACGTAAAGACACCATAGAAATTAGGGGAGTTAATGCGATTGAAATTACTTTTCGAATATTCGTCTGATTCAGTATTCGAATTTTCGATTATTGTTTCATGTCAAATTAATATAATATGCACCTTTAAGACGGCAATCGTTTACACACCAGGTCTGCTGTAATACGTTTTACCGATACAGAACAGAACGGTACCTTATTTGTCAACATGATCAACGAAGCACATAAATACTTTAACAGATAAATGAGATCAATTTCAAGGCATATTTGGAGCTATAACATGGGTGATATAGTTATACAACACGGGTCTTTAGACCTATAACATGATTGATATATTTATACAACACAGTTCTGTAGAGATATAACATATGCGATATAGAAATACAACGTGGTTCTTTAGAGCTATAACATGGGTGATATAGTTATACAACATGGTTTTTTCGAGCTATAACATGGGTGATATAGTTATACAACATGGTTCTTTAGAGCTATAACATGGGTGATATAGTTATACAATACGGTTCTTTAGAGCTATAATTAGGGTGATATAGTTATACAACATGGGTCTTTAGAGATATAACATGGGTGATATAGTTATACAGCGTGGTTCTTTAGAGCTATAACATGGGTGATATAGTTATACAACATGGGTCTTTAGAGCTATAACATGGGTGATATAGTTATACAGCGTGGTTCTTTAGAGCTATAACATGGGTGATATAGTTATATAACATGGGTCTTTAGAGCTATAACATGGGTGATATAGTTATACAACATGGGTCTTTAGAGCTATAACATGGGTGATATAGTTATACAACATGGGTCTTTAGAGCTATAATTAGGGTGATATAGTTATACAACACGGTTCTTAAGAGCTATAACATGGGTGATATAGTTATACAACATGGGTCTTTAGAGCTATAACGTGGGTGATATAGTTATACAACATTGGTCTTTAGAGCTATAAAATGGGTGATATAGTTATACAACACGGTTCTTAAGAGCTATAACATGGGTGATATAGTTATACAACATGGGTCTTTAGAGCTATAACACGGGTGATATAGTTATACAGCGTGGTTCTTTAGAGCTATAACATGGGTGATATAGTTATACAACACGGGTCTTTAGAGCTCTAACATGGGTGATATAGTTATACAACATCGGTCTTTAGAGCTATAATTAGGGTGATATAGTTATACAACATTGGTCTCTAGAGCTATAAAATGGGTGATATAGTTATATAACACGGTTCTATAGAGCTATAACACGGGTGATATAGTTATACAACGTGGGTCTTTAGAGCTATAACATGGGTGATATAGTTATATAACATGGGTCTTTAGAGATATAACATGGGCGATATAGTTATAGAACATGGGTCTTTAGAGCTATAACACGGGTGATATAGTTATACAACGTGGGTCTTTAGAGCTATAACATGGGTGATATAGCTATACAACGTGGGTCTTTAGAGCTATAACATGGGTGATATAGTTATACAACATGGGTCTTTAGAGATATAACATGGGTGATATAGTTATACAACGTGGGTCTTTAGAGCTCTAACATGGGTGATATAGTTACATAACACGGTTCTATAGAGCTATAACATGGGTGATATAGTTATACAACATGGGTCTCTAGAGCTATAAAATGGGTGATATAGTTATACAACACGGTTCTTT